TATAAATAAAGCTTCCATGAACATTATTGTACAAGTCTTTTTGTGGATGTGTGTTTTTATTTTTCCTGGGTAAATACCTCGGAATGGAGTAGGTAGGCTACAGGGTAGGTGTGTGTTTACTTTTCTAAGAAACTTCTAGAACTTTTTCCAAAGTAGTTATATAATTTTACATTATCACTAACAATGTATGAAAGTTCTGGTTGCTCCAAATCCTTGCCAACATTTGGTGTTATCAGTGTTCTTAGTTTTAGCTATTCTTGTAAGTATATAGTGGTTTTTCATTGTGGTTTTAATTTACATTTCCTTAATGTCCTCACCACTGAACTGATAAACAACATTATGATAAATAAAGGAGAAATTGAAGTTGTCAATGGTTTCATTCAACTTGGATCAATAATCAGCATCCATGGAAGCAGCAGTCAAGAAATCAAACTATGTTTTGCATTGGGCAAATCTGCTGCAAATTTTAAAGTTTTAAACTTCTTTAAAGTTTTAAAATGCCAAGATGTGACTTTGAGAACTAAGGTGTGGCTGACCCAATAGCCTTATGTGCATGGGAAAGCTGGACAACGAACAAGGAACACAGAAGAATGATACATTTGAATTGTGGTGTTGGCAAAGAATATTGAATATACCATGGACTTTCAGAGAACAAACAAATCAGTCTTAGAAGAAATACAACCGAAATTCTTCTTAGAAGTGAGGATGGTGACACTTCGGCTCACTTACTTTGGACTTCTCATTAAGAAAGACTAATCGCCAGAAAAGAACACCATCGATGGTAAAATGAAGAGTCAGCAAAGGTGAGGGAGGGCCTTGGTGAGGTGGATTGACACTGTAGCTGAAACAACGGATTCAAATATAGAAATAATCATAAAGATAGCACAGGACTGGTAACATTCCATTGTGCTATACATAAGGTCATTATGAGTTGGAGCCAACTAGACAACTAAAACAGTAACAACAATGACTAATGAGTAGTCCCTTGGTGGTGCAAACAGTTAATGCACTCAGCTGCTCACTGAAAGGTTGGAGGTTCGAGTCTACCGAGAGGTGTCTGGGAAGAAATGCCCGATGATCTACTTCCGAAAAATCCGCCATTGAAAACCCTATGGAGCAGTTCTAGTCTGACACACGTGGGGTCACCATGAATCAGAATCAACGCCCTGGCAACTGGTTTGGTTTTTGGTAATGATTAATGATGTTGGGCACTTTACCATGAGCTTATTAGTGATTCATATATATACCTTTGTGGAATGTCTATTGATATGTTTTGCCCATTTAAAAAAAAACAGGGTTGTTTGTCTATTTCCTATAGAGTTATAAGAATTCTCTATATATTTCTGGATACCAGTTCTTTGTCAGATGTATGTCTTACAAAATATTTTTTCCACGTCTGGTGTTTTCTTTTTCTTAATGGTGTGTTTTCATGTAGCAAAGTTTTTAATTTTTATGAAGTTTAATTTATCATTTGTTCTTTTATGGTTATTGCTTTCTGTGTCCTAAGAAATCTTTACTATGCCCAAGTCACAAAGATCTCCTATGTTTTCTTCTATAGGATTTTTAGTTTTATGCTTAGGTCTATAATCCATCTTCAACTGATGTTTGCGTAGAGTGTGAAGAAGGGATCAAGGCTTATTTTTTTCTATAGAGATACTCGGTTGTTCCAGCACTATTTCTTAAAAAGACTTTTCTTTCCTCATTGGATTGTTTTGGCATCTTGTCAAAAATCAAATGACCACTTAAGTGTGCATCTGTTTCTGGGCCCTCTATTTTATTCCGGTGGTTTATTTGTTGATCTTTATGCCAGTACCACCCAGTACAGTTTTGATAATGCAGCTTTAGAATAAGTCTTGAAGTCAGGTAGTTAAGTTCCCCAACTTTATTCTCCTTTTCCTATATTGCTTTGGATATCCTGTTGTTGTTGTTAGTTGCCGTTGAGTCAGCTTTGAGTCATGGGGACCATATATATCATAGAACGAAGCATTGCCCAGTCCTGCGCCATCATCATGATTGTTGGTATGTTTGAGGCCATTGTTGCAGCTATTCTGTCCGTCTATCTCATAGAAGGTTTCCCTCATTTTTGCTGGCTCTCTGCTTTACCAAACACGACGTACTTTTCTAGCAGTTGGTTTTTCCTGATGACATGGACAAAGTAAGAAAGCAGAAGTCTCGTCATCCTCACTTCTAGGAAACATACTGGTTGTATTTTTTCCAAGACTGATTTACTTGTCTTTCTAGGTCCTCTGAATTTCCATATACATTTTAGAATCAGTTTGTCAATTCCTATAGAAAAGCCTGGTAGGATTTTGATTGGGAAGTATTCTGTAAATGTTTTTACATTTTGCTTGCTTCTCATGACCTCCAGTGATCAAGAGGGATCATTTCCTGGAGAAGGACATCATGCTTAGTAAAGTACAGGGTCAGCGAAAAAGAGGAAGACCTTCAATGAGATGGACTGACACAGTGGCTGCAACAATGGGCTTAAGCATAACAACGACTGTGGGCATGGTGCAGCACCGGGCAGTGTTTCACTCTGTAGTACACAGGGTCGCCAGGTGGCACAAATGGTTAAGCGCTGGACTACTAGCTGGAAGGCTGGTGGTTTCAACACACCCAGAGCCAACTCTGAAGACAAACCTGCTGATCTGCTTCCAAAAGGCAGCAGCCTTCCAAACCCTATGGAGCAGTTCTACTCCGCACATATGGAGTCACCACGGGTCAGAATCGATTGGTCAGCAACCAACAACAACATACCTATAAAATGAATAAGTAGAAATAGTTGCTGAATGCAGTCTCATTCTAGGTATAAGCAATATTTATCCAAGATACATGACCTAATTAAGGGAGAAAAATCATTTGTCTCATTAAGAAAAATCATTTCAAATAACAATTTTTATTATGTTTAATAATTGTTGTTGTGTGCTGTTGAGTCAATTCCGACTCATAGCGACCCTATATGACAGAGTAGAGCTGCCCCATCAGGTTTCCTAGGCTGTAATCTTTACAGGAGCAGATTGTCAGGTCTTTTCTCCAGCGAGCGGTTGGTGGGTTCGAATTATCAACCTTTCCATTAGCAGCCAAGCACTAAGCCTTTGCGCCACCAGGGCTCCTTTGTTGAAAATTGTTTATCAAAATCTGTATTGTTGTTGTCATTCTTAGGTGCTGTCAAGTCGGCTCCGACTCATAGCAACCCTGTACAACAGAGTAGAACTGCCCCATAGGGTTTCCGAAGGGTGGCTGGTGGATTTGAACTGCAGACTTTTGGTTAGCAGCCAAGCTCTTAACCACTATGTCACCAGGGCTCCAAAATTTGTATTATATTTACATTATTTTGATCAACTATGTACCAATAGTTGTAACTATGAAAAGAGGGTCTCAATTCCTTACTGGCTGTTGCCAGAAGACTTCTTCAGTTCCTTGCCACAGGGACCTCTCCACAGGGCAGCTCACAAAATGGCAGCTGACTTACCTCAGATCCAGCAAGGCCAGAGAAAAAGAGGCTGACCAGGAAAGAAATCATGGTCATTCTGTAACCTAATCTTGTAGTTGCCATCCCATCACTGTTGTCTTGTTCTATTCGTATTATGTTGTAGAAGCAAGTCAATGGATCCAGCCCATCCTCAAGGGAAGGGAATTACAAAAGGACTTCAACAGGAGGTGGGATCATTGAGCCATCTTAGAAGCTGCCTACCACAAATGTCAATATGTACAAAATGCCGGTAATTGCATCTTTTGCATCCATTTAAACTTAGGATGAAATTTTTTAGATGTTTTCTTTAAAATGTTTGAGAGGATACAGAGTTTTCTAAAATTATTTCAGAGATAAATAAGCAAAAATGTGTGAAGACCACTGAGTCTTTAGCCCAATTTAGTCCGGCGGGGGGTGGGGTGGGGGGGAAGGATGGCTAGCCAAGATAGTTCCCGGGGCCCTGCCAGCAGCAGGAAAAGGGCAACGGTGCTTTGGACAAAGAGAAAATCCAGATCACCGGGAGCTGCTGTTGCGGTGGGTGGAAAATACAAGGTAAAGCTAAGTGAGTTTAGATTCCATGGGCGTCAAAAGGCAGCCAGAAGTGTTTAGCCTTGACTACATAGGGAAGGAAATCGGACTTTCGCGGGTTTAGGATGCAGCGAGAAAAAGGATGAAAAGTTCCAATTTTCTAAGGGCATATGTGGCAGGAGCGTGTAGGACAATATAAGGAAGGACAAGGTTCGCTCCAAGCTAGGAGGGAGTAGCAGGAAACTAGGAGAGGGAACCGCATGCCTCTCTTGGGATGGTCTTTAGAGGGTCTGGAGAGGAGAGGATGCAGACAACACGGGTTCTAAAGGATAAATCGATAGGACGGGGGCTAATTAGACGTAATTAGATGATGACAGTCCTTTGGTAGACACAGAGTAAGCTCCTTGGGAAATACGGCATTGTTGGGCGCTGTGGGGACACAGAGTAGTACAGGATTAGGTCCCTGCCCTCTAGGAATTCAGTTTCCAAAGGTTTGTGCCAGAAGTCTGGGAAATGGCAGCTCCTACGTCCTCTCCCAAGAAAGAAATGTTTCTGATCCCGGAGCCCAGAGTTGTTCCTGCCTTGAGAAAGCGAAAGAAAGGGCAGAAAAAGCAGAGCAAGAAAGCTGAAGGGGGACGCATAAAGAGGGACTTTAAAAAATGGACTTCCTTTGAGTCTGGAGTTGAGGCTTGACGTCAAATGACCAAGGAGAAAAGGAAGAGAAGTCTAAACAAGGGCGAGAGCAAAAGGAGGAAAAATAATTAAAACTGAGTGTTATGGCTTAACGATTAGAGCAGATATTAAATCTGGGAGCGGGCTAAGGCTTGAGAATAAGTTGACAGCTCGCTCTTCTGGGCTGGAGCAGCAGGCAGGGTGGCAGAGAAGCTACCGCGCAGACGGTAGAAGCGCGGGGAGGAGCGCGCACCTGGGACGCACCGGCGGAGGAGGGACCAGAGGAGAGACTGGTCACCAGCCCAAACCCCTCCCCTTCGGCGCGGCCCGAAAGCCGGAAGCAGGCTGAGCCGAGCGGAGTCGGGACTTTGTGCCGAAGGAAAAGTTCCGGGACGTTTCCACGCTGAGCCCCCAGTCCCGGGCCGCGCGCCCTCCGCAACAGTGCCGGGGCCATGGGGGCCCAGCGCTGCGTACCACCCATCTTTCCCGGAACACCGCTGGGGCTGCTGCTACTGCTCCAGACCATGTCGGCCCTGGGTCGCTCCTCCCTGCGGCTCTTGGACCACCCGAAGCCCGACTGCTCCCAGCCGGTGAGACCTCGACGCGCGCTCGGGGCGCGGGGGCCCAGAGGTTGCTGCATTTGCGAGGGCGGAGGCGCGGGCGGCCGGCAGGCCAGCCAGTCGGGGGCTGCGCGCCCCGGGCTTGCGAGCAGGAAGTCTGCGCTTGGGGGCTGTTAGGGGATCAGAGGCTTGGGCGCGAAGATCCAGGCGTACTGGGGCGGACGCTGGGAGCTGCGAGAGTTGTGGTGTGGACCTGGGAGAAGAGGAAGTTTGAGAGAAAAGATCGCGCGGCACGCGTTGCACAACCCCAACTGCAGTCGCGGGCGGGGGGCCGGGAGTGACATCTCCGCTGGGGCCCCAGAGTTTGGGGAAGTAGGCGGGCCAGGGCTGATTGGAAAAGGGTTGTGGCGAGGGAGGCTTTCGGAGGAGCCAGGGCAGGGCCCGGCGGGCCGCCACACGGTGCGCCCTACAAACCCCCTTGCTCGGCCCAGGCGGGCCACGGGAGGCCCGTCCACACCTCGGGAGCGTCCCCTCTAGTTGCTGTCCTCATTTGAGCCAAAGGAGCCGGGCAAGCCCACAGCAGCCGGATTAGAGGGCGGCTGAGCTGAAGGTGGGGACCCCGACGGATCTCAGCCTGGCTCCCCCGGGGGAGACCCCGCGGTGGTAGCGCGGGGCGGACGAGCCGAGGCGGCCTATCGGGCCTAGGAACTGGGAGCGGTGAGACGTGGCGAGTAATCTTTCAGGTTGTGCGGAGGGCGGCGGCAGGCGGACTTGGATCCCTCCTGTAGGTGACACCTCGTCAGAGGGTCAAAGCGCTGAGGCTGGGAAAATGATTCTCAAGACATACACCCCCTCCTGCCCCACCACCACCACCCAGTCTGGGAACAGGGCGCTGTGGGTGAGATCTGTCTGACAGATCTTTCTGCCCACAGAAAGAGACACACCCACCTGTCGGATAGTGGCCCTTGTATTGGAGCTGAGGACCATTTTAAGAAAGGAAAAGAAAAAAAAAAACACAGTATCCCCGTTTCCCGCCCCCCACCCCTCACCAAATGCACTCTTCTCCCCCTCCAAGCTCGTTTTCCTCCACGATCTCTAGTGTTTCTCAGTCCCCTGAGGAATAATGGTCAGTATCTGACTCAGAGGATGTGAAACAATCAAAGGACTATTTCTCCTTCTCTAATGTCGTGGAGGATTTACCAAAAGAGGATGGAGGGTGAGTGAGCATTTAGCAGAAATTTTTTTTTTTAATGTGAATGATGTTGGGAAATGTCCCTGTGACTCTTACTATTAGACAAAGCAAGGAGACATAGTTCAGCAGATCTTCCTACAGAGTTTGTATAAAAGTATTCTGACATCCAGAATTTGGCGTTCGTTTTTTGATGGTCATTTATCACATGCATGCAAAATACAAGGTACTATGCTGGGAACTGAGACTCTAAAGAAATATGCCTTGGTCCCTAATGTCCAGGGTCTTAAATCATCTAGTAGGGGAAATAAGGCTTGAAGTTAGGTAACTACCATACAAGGCATCCTCTGGCAAGTGCTGTTTGTACAAGTGAGTGTACAAAATCCCAGGGAAAAGAGAAATTGCTTCCAGCTGGGGTGTTCTTCGTGGAAGAAAGGACGTTTGGGCAGCCCTAAAGGGGGTTAGGTGGGAGCTTTTGTAGACAGAGGTTGAAGGGAGCCTTCCAGGCAGTGGGTGGGGCCTGAACCAAAGCTGTTGGGTGGGACAGGGGAAATAAGTTGTGTGCTTGAAGTGGAGGATCTGTGTGGCAGGAAAGTGAGAAAAGAAGCTAGAAAGAGAGGTGGTTGTTGTTTGTTGCTGTCGAATCAGTTCTGACTCATGGCAACCTCAGGTATGCAAAGTAGAACTGCTCCATAGGGTTTTCAAGTCCGTGTGACCTTTCAGAAGCAGATTGCCAGGTCTTTCTTCCAAGGTCCCTCTGGGTGGGTTTGAACCACCAACCCTTAGGTTAGTAGTTCAGTGCTTAACCATTTGCACCACTGAGAGACTCCTAGAAGGGAAGGTAGGAACTCCATTGTGGTGTTGCATGAGAGCTTGGCCAAAAGGGTTTTGACTTTAATAGCACAGTGTGAAGCTACTGAAAGTCTTGAACGGGGCAGAGCATAATTCCAGAGAGGGCTGGAGAGAGATGACTACATTTGTCTGCTACTCGCATTCTCTTTCTTCCTCCATGCCCCTCTGCACACACCTGGCTCACGTACCCCTCATCTCCATGGACAAGCAGCTTCCCTGCTCTGTTGACTGGAAAGAAACCACACCCCTCAAATTTCACTTCCTCCACTGGTATTTTAGTGAGTGCAACATGAAATAATGGGGGGGGCACAAACTTGACCTGGGATGGCCTGGATTTGCATCCTGACTTCGCAAACACAATCCCTCGAGCAGTTTAGGCTGCCCAGACGGCAGTTTCCTCATCTCCACAATGAAAGGGCTGATGGTCATCTCAAAGTGGGCGCACACCACCTGCTAGAATATAAATGTCTATCCAAAGTCCACAGAATTTTCAATGGCTGATTTTTTCAGAATTAGACCGCCAGGCCTTTCTTCTGAGGTGCCTCAGGGTGGGCTTGACTTCCGATCTTTCAGTTAGCAGCCAAGCATGTTACCTGTTTGCACAACCCAGGAACTCCAAAAACCAATTGCGCTGGAGTCAACTCTGATTCATGGCGGCTCTCTGATGTACATGGATTCCCGTGAGTCAGAGTCCATTCCATGGCAGCTGGTGGTGGTAATCCCCAAAGCCCAGTTGGATTTAGCCCTTGGTGAGTCTCTACTGAGACAGGAAGGAGGCTTCGAATGCCTGTTCTTTTCCCAGCCCAGCGCTGTAAGCACAAGATGTGAGTACTCAATAAATATTTGTTGAATGGCAACGAATGAACAAATAAATGAATAATTGCCTCTGCTTGAAAAACTGAGACCAGGCATAGCGCTGTTCCTGGCTGCCCAGGCTTAGCACCTCAAAACTCAGATGCCTTTGAGTTCCCCAACAGAAATCAATGCTGGAGAGGCCATAAGTAACTGCGTTTCCCTGGGCAGTCATTTGGTCAGCCGTTACCCCTGCCTGGGCTTTCTCTCAGATGTTCCATGAGTGTTAGCCCAGAGGAAGGCCCAAGAAGGAAAGACAGTGACTTGGAGTGGTCAATCTGAATGTTAGTGCACAATTTTATAGACAGGATGTATGTGCTGTTACAGACTTTTTTCTTCCTGAGCACTTGTGGTTTGACTTGTGGTAGAATAACCGTTTGGTTTAACCCTTTTATCTTCTGGTTGCCAGAGCTGTTTTCAGCTGGGCCACTCTTCCAGCAGGTAAAAAGGTGTGTTTGGTGGACACTCTTGAAGGGTGTAGGGCACTCAGGCAGGCAGGGCTGGGGTCGCTGCTGGCAGTAAAAGCCCAAAAAACCCACGGCCATCAAGTTGATTCCAACTCATAGCGATCCCATAGAGTTTCCAAGGCTGTAAATCTCTACGGAAGCAGACTGCCACCTCTTTCTCCCACGGAGCAGCTGGTAGTGTCAAACCGCCGACCTTTACAGTTAGCAGTCCGGCACTTTAACCACTGCGCCACCAGGGCACACAAGCAATTTGCAATAAGCTACTAACCTAAAGGTTGGCTGTTCAGACTTACGCAGGAGTGCTGCAGAAGAAAGGCCTGGAGATCTGCTTCTGTAAAGATTACAGCCAAGAAAAGTGGGGTGTAAAACTCAAATTCTAGTGAAAAGACCAGACTTAATAGTTTGACCGAGACTGGAGGGACCCCGGAAGACGCGGCCCCTGGACTCTGTTAGCCCAGAACTAAAACCATTCCCAAGGCCAACTTTTTTTTTTTTTTTTAAATATTTTATTGTACTTCAGGTGAAGCTTACAGAACAGATAGTTTCTCATGTAACAGTAACACACATGCTGTTTTATGACATTGGTTAACAAGCCCACAACTTTTTAACCCTCTAAATTCTCAACTTTTTTTTTTTTTTTTGGGGAAAAAAAAACCAACCAAAAAAAACCCATTTCAAAAATTTTTTTACATACACATTTAAGTGACATTGACTACGCTCTTCTAATTGTGCTGTTATTCTCACTTAAGATGAAGGCTTACAGGACAAAATAGTCTCCCATTTAACAGTTACTACAAATGTTGCCCTATGACAATGGTTAACAATCTCACAACACATCAACAATATCCTTACTCTACTTTGTGATCCCTATCATCAGCTTCCTACTCCCCTTCTGCCTTCTGGGCCTTGTCACTGGACTCCTGTACCTCGTTACTCTCATGGTTTTACTGGGCTGTCCACTCGCAGGCTGAACAGTGAACCTCAAAGGTAACTTCACCACTGAGCTAAAAGGGTGTCTGGGGGCCATACTCTCGGGGTTTCTCCAGTCTCCTTTAGGCCAGTAAATCTGGTCTTTTTTTTTTTTTTTTGTGAGTTAGAATTATGCTCTACATCCTTCTCCAGCTCTGTCCAGAACCCTCTGTTGTGATCCTGGTCAGAGCAGTCAGCGGTGGTAGCCGGGCACCATCTAGCTGTACTGGACTCAGTCCGGTGAAGGTCTTGGTAGCTGTGGACAATTAGTCCTTTGGACTAATCTTTTCGTTGTATCCTGTTCTCTTCATTCTCCCTTGCCCAAGGCCAACTTTTTAGACAAAGATTAGACTAGACTATGGGACAGAAAATGATACTTGTGAAGAGTGTGCCTCTTAGCTCAAGTAGATACATGAGACTAAATGGGCAGCTCCTGTCTGGAGGCGAGACGAGAAGGCAGAGAGGGTCAGGAGCTGGTTGAATGGACATGGGAAATCTGGGGTGGAAAGGAAGAGTGTGCTGTCACAGTATAGGAAGAGCAATTAGGGTCACATACCAAGGTATGTATAAATTTTTGTATGAGAGACTAACTTGAATTGTAAACTTTCACTTAAAGCAAAACAATTTAAACCAAAAAAGAAGAAAAAAGATTACAGGCAAGAAAACCTTACGGAGCAGTTCTACTCTGTACATATAGGGTA